ACGTTCCCCCGCCCCCCACGCCTGAACCCCTTTCCACTGCCAACACCTCACCTCGCCCCCGCCGCCATCTTCCTCCTGCCTCGGCAGCCCCGCCCCCACTAGTACATGGACAGTTCTGATTGGTCGTTGCGGAACTCTGACGCGACTTCTGAGTCCGAGGATGTGGCCTAACCAGACGCCGCGAAGGAGAGCGCGCTCCTGGGAACTAAGCGGGTTGGGGACCGAGGGCGCCCCCTAGTCGTGTGGAGAACGAGGAACAGACGCCGCCAACCCTTGCCCGCAGGACTCGACAGAAAGGCACTTGTCTTCAAGGTTGGAATGGGCCACCTCAGGCACTCCGCGTCCCTCGAGGCCTTGGGCGTCTTCTACTGCCTGTCTCCTCGCACGGTCCCGCCAGAAACGGTTTCTAAGGGATAAAAGTGGCCCAACTGGATTACATTACATTGCAAACGCCAGAAAGAACCTAGGAACAGAAGGTAGCCCTCAGCAAGTGCTGATGTTGGGGGTCAACGAGGGTCCTGGAAAGGAGAGGTGCGGAGACAGAAGCGTACGCCTTACGGAGGTCCTGCTCCTGTTCTTCACTCAAACCTTGTACCTGAGGCTAATTCTTCCCAAAATGTGAATGAGGATCTTTAGGAGTGCTCTTGAAACATAATTCTGCCTATGTCCTCCCCCTCTAAGTGGAATCTTTACTGGCTGTCCATTGCTTAATACAGAAAAGGGGGTTCCGCGGCCTGGCAATCCAGTCAGTTTATTGTTTTTGTTCGTTCAGCACGCGATCGCTGACTACCAGCATGACCGACCTGAGTAACCACCTCTCTCTGGTGGAAATTGCCCATGCAGTGACATCATCCCCTTCACACAGGCTCATGTTCCAGCCCATCTGGACCACAAAGTATTCCTCCAGGCCAATTCTGTACCTGCAGGAGTTCTGTACCTTTTTTGCCCCCTTTGCTCTCTTGCCTTCTCCTTAATCCCTGTTTCCCAAGTAGGTGTTGCCCGAGCCCCAACCCATTTCCCAAGCATCATCGTACAGGCCAAGTCCTCAGTGAAAATTCTCTTGATCTCCTAGCCTGAAGTCATTTCTTCCTTGTAAATCTCACCACTGTTTGCAAATTTCATGGCTCTACTTATTACACTTTCCATTTTCATATTCAGTTTACCCTTGAGGAATATAGTGGGTTAGGCTGCCAAAACTCCCCTCCCCTCAGTCAAAAATCCTCATATAACTTTTGACTCCCCCAAAACCTAACTATTAACAGCATACTGTTGACCAGAAGCCCTACCAGTAGTACAAACACTGGATTAACACATATTTTGTATGTTATATGTATCATATCCCTTATTCTCATAATAAAGCTAGAGAAAATGTTATTAAGAAAATCATAAAGAAGAGAAAATACATTTATCAAAAAAATGTATCAAAAAAAAAATCCAGTAGGAGTGAACCTGCACAGTTAAACCTGGGTTGTTCAATGTGAATATATATATATAAATATATATAAAAATATAGATATATATATATA